GAAGAATGAGCTTTGTGAAACAGTACGAGTTGGAGTTTCACTCGTCAGATACAGTTGCTTCGACTAGAAGTAAAATCAGCTCAGTGACTGTAAGATTAATCAAAATTAATATGATTTGACATTAATAATGTTTTGTATCGTGCTTGCTGTGTGTTTAAAGTGCAACAAAGAAGACAGGTGTTTATGGCTGAAGAACAAGAGATTGAATTAAATCCACATTGCAGACGCAGTGAATTAGTTATATCATCAGGCTGAGACTCCTTAATGTTATAATGACTGCCTTCATGACAGTACAACCCCTCCACACACACACACACACACACACACACACACACACACACTCACACTCACACACACTCTCCACTCATGGGAGGCCTGGAGGGGGAGATGGTGAGTTTAGCAGTCAAAGCCTGAAAGCGAACGTGAGTCAGCCTGATAGTACAACTTATTATGAGTGGGCTTCACTACAGTGGGAGCTAAATGGATAACTCTGGCTCTCATACAAAGGCCTTTTTTTCTCTCTCTCTCTCTCTCTCTCTCTCTCTCTCTCTTTCAGTGGAAGAGACTGTCTGGGTTACAAAGCAGATTTATTGATTTATTTTCTGGGAGTGAAATGGAGCCCTCACTTACTCTGGGCCACGAAATATGTTTCAGTGAAGTGGAATTTAGATTCAAGTCGTGTGTTTTGAGGCTGTTCAGATTCACCACATGTAGATGGATAGACAGAGACGGTACTGTGGCAGTGAATAGATCAAATACAATACTGTACTTTTACTTCTGTAGAGGTTGAATGTTTAATTGTTTTTTCTTTCCCAGCCCGTCCTCCGTTACTGACACTGAGAGGAACTGTGAGTTTGGCAGCTTCTGACCACAGAAGGACCTCTCCAGCTCACGCATCCGTCACTGTAAGTTTATCACAAATTCGCTGCCATTTTTCTTTTTTTTTTTGTCAACAAATCTTATGAAAAGCCAATTACACCACATTTTAGCCTGTCTCTCTTTACTTTCTGACTTGCCTTAATTACATATTATATTTAAATTAAATATACATTTATGATTAAACTACAATCACACATTTAAGCTAGTGAAACTTTTCAATCTTTCAACCAGAGTTGGGATGAGGAACTAAAGCCAGTCCATCCTCTGATGTGGTTTCATTATTAGCTCTTAACTTACCTAAGGACTATAACATCTATCAGCTTAGGCAGCAACACCTTGTAAATGAAGACACCATCCTGTGGTTTAAGGGCAGTGGCAGCATCATGAGCATATGTAATATTTAAAAAAAATAGTTCACAGATTTGTAGTTTCATTTATTTTAAAGGTTGAATCATTTCCTCAAACAGCTGTGGAACTGTTGTGCACTTTTACAGGAGTGAATAATGTATTTTTTTGGAGCAGTGGTGTGTGTGTGTGTGTGGGACTCACTGTTTTTGGAAAACAGTAGGAATACGTAATATCAGAACTTTTTGGAGACAGACAACACAATATGTATATTTGTCTTTTCATTTGATTTATTGAGAATAATAAAAACGTACATCACCTTTTACTGCAAGTCAATTTGAAGCTGTAGGTGGTGAATATGACCACTAGATGGAGGCGTGGATCCGTGTGTAGCAAGTGATTTTAGCTGCTCACACAGTATCATATAGTATGAGCTCAGACAGAGCAAACAGGTTGTGTTCAAGTCCCTTTTTTATTTCAGGGGGGAAAGAAATATAAAAAAATAGTGAGATATGTATTTTATTCTTTTCTTTAGGAGACCAAAAAGCAGTATTACAGCGACCTTTGCAGGCAGGTAGAGGAGAGACATCAGCAGACGGAGAGAGAGAGGAGGAGAAATTACACTGACGAACAGAAAGTTAGTTACTTCATCACAAGGAGAATGTGTGTAGTTTTAGTGCTTCTCATTCCAAGTAATCACACGTTTGAGCTCAAAATTCCTACTGTAGTGTTCACTATTCTCCTGCCATCTGCAGCACAATGAGACCCTGCAGCGCTCCGTCTGGGGGAGGCCAGGAAGCGGTGCACCGAACTACCACCTGGGCACAGTGAGACGGACCAAGAGCCTCTGCACCGCCGGGATTTTACCCCAAGAGCAGGTGAACAATGCGGCGTTTGTAAACCGAGCATTGTTCGGTGCAACAAAAGCCTAGTGTCCTCAGAAAGGTCTCCTGATCACATCAGTCTGGCTTTGATGGGAAAGAACTGAGAGACAGTCTGCAGCCTTTTGTCCAATGCAAATATCTGCTGCATCATGTCATGCTCAGTATTTTATTTTAATCATATCACCAATTGTAAAGCTAAAATCAAAGTTAAATTAAACCTTAAGCAGAGTATGAAATAGCAAAAAGAGCAAGTGCTAGGAGAGAGTCAACGTCTCCCTGACAAATTTCTTCTTACTTTTGCTCTAAAAAACGTTCCCAGTGAGCCTTAAACCTCCTGCCGAACTTTGCCGCCCCAAAATATTTTCCTAAGTAAAACTCCGACCTGACCTCTTTTCCACATATTGCATTCATCTCGCAGCAGCTGAAACTCAAACCTCCGTCTGTGGTTACTAACAGTGGGAGCCGTTCAGACTCTAAACAAGTTTTGTTTGAGGTCATAACATGAGTCTGGGTTCGGGTGCCAGCATGACACTGCAGCCCGTTTCTGCGGCCGGCGCTTCTGAAAGCTCTTCTTTGTTTCCGTCACAGATCCGTGATAAAGGCTTCTGTGGGATCCCCTTCCACTCCCTGTGACATGAAGACCATAACATCCCCAAACTGAGACAACTGAGGGGCTAATTGTCCCCTCGGACTTCCTACTCCTCAAGCAATGTTAATTTTGTAGCCGTCAAAGGAATTTGGGCTTTTTCAGCAGCAGATTCTGACGGCACAATACAGAATAAACTTGCTGTGCAAACATTTAAGAAGGCGCCAAACTGACTGTGCGTTAAACAGCGGTTCATTTTTTAACTGAGGAGCTGCAACAGCCAGAGCCGCCATATTGTTTTCCGGTTGCCTGTTCATCCCATTCTTGTGGACGTGAGATCTCTGTAACGCCTTGACGGAACTTCTTCAAATGTGGCTCAAACATTCACTAGGACTCCAGCATAGACTGATTAGATTTTGGTGGTCAAAGGTCAAAGGTCAAGGTGGAGGTGACCTCACAAAACACGGTATTGTGCCTCTTGAATGTCGTATCTCTTTGTTGAGATTTGGCACAAATATTTACTTGGACTCAAGGATGAACTGATTAGATTTTGGTGGACAAAGGTCAGAGGTCAATGTCATGTTGTTGTGAATGCATTATATCAGAAAACGGCCAGAGGGAGGTGACCGAGGAGGTTAAAGTTTGACTCAGCAGCTCACACACACACACACACGCACAAATGATTGATTCTGCTTTGCTGGAGAGTTTGAGCTTGCAGAAGTTTGAGATGACATCGGCCTACACAGGTCTGAGAAAAGTTTGTGAATATATCTTCGCTGTAAATGACTCGTATCGTGGCGGAATACGTCGCTGATTTGTTCATTATAGTGTTGGACATAAAGAACAAACAGCCTCGACTTGAATACTTTGAATTATTTGTCCAAAAAGTTTTTCCCTGATTGATCTACCAGGTAGTCGTCAGATAATTACACTGTGAGGAGCGATGACTCATCCCCTCTAATTGCATGGCTTTGTTAGCGTGACGTTAGCGGGCTCTTAATTGGAACAGTTTACGCACACACTGAGTGATTGTATTTAGTTTTTATAGGATAAGGGCCTTATTGCAGAGGGCAGCGGCAGCTTTCCATCTCAGTGGGAGAATAATTATAATGTAGGGATGTAGGCTGCTGAGGTTGGTAATTATACTGTGGAACACAGAGGATCTACCTTTTGGTTCATCTACTCTTTCTAGTTTCGTCTTCTGTACAATGAGCTGTACACCCAGCTTTAAAATAGATTTTGTTCATCGTCTCCTCGGTGAGTCCATGAGGAGCTTGAGCTCATCTCAGCGTAAACTTCGGACGTTTTTACGTTTCCAGCATTTGGAACAGCAGCACCCCTCAACCAGGAAGGTCAGAGGTCATGGTAAACAACAACACATCACCCCAGCAACACGAGTTAAAGCAAAGTGCAGTCGAGTTGCAGGATGTCTGAAAGCTCTGGTTGAAGGACTCTGACCACTAATTTCCATGCTCTCTCTCAGACTCGGTGGTGACCTTACTGAAGCCGGCTTTATGCCGACTCATCACTTTTATATTCCCAATAAACCCTTTGGTGAATTACACTCATTTTCCAGTTCATAAGATGGTGCAGTCTGATACAGCAGTCCCACATTAAAGCTTTTAGCCTATTGCAGTTCTAATGGCCAGTTTTCTGGTGGAAACTTTGAGTATTTTGTGTTGCTCTTATTATTATTATTATTATAAAATATATTATCATAAAAACATCTAAATCACAGTTTATCAATTAAGAAAAACAAAAACTAAACACATTCTGACAACATACAAAAGAAAACAGAAAAAAAGTAAATGATGCCACAGCTGCTACAAAAAAATACTCAGATAAACGAAGGCACAAGATACAAAACTCAAGTCGTCTGTTTCACCAAATGAGAATGAATGTCAAGTTTATAAGAGAGGATATTATGGTATTTAGCAACACTATTTGATAGAGTATTAACAGATCCTGGAAGGTGTAAATCATGAGCACGTCTGGTGTCATATGTATTAATCTGAAAATGATTAATTAAATGATTGAGATACACACTTAACATGTAAATATTGTAAATACAGTAGAAAGAATTCAAAAAAGTGAGTGTATATTTGTCTGTATATAAATGTAGGTATATATAAATATAAATAAATGTATATAAGGAACTAATAACACAGTGGTGTGATATATTTATCTTACTAAGTGACACCATAGGATAAAGTCTGATTATAACAACCACGGACAGAAAGCGTTTGTTAATGAAACAGTGACCGGATGTAAATGGTTAACCCGACGGTGTAGCGGTCCGTGGTGACGTCACGGGCTGGTTCCTACCGCTTTGGGCCGCAGTTTGGTTTGAAGAGGACAAACATCCACCTACCAAATAAAAAAAAGAAAAAGAAAAATCCCCGCCGCACGACTTTTTCCCCCCCAACAGATCATCAGCTGCTGGATCATCCAACGTCCACACGATGGGAAACTGTCAGGTCAGTGACTCGATGTCTTTTATTATTCACTGGTAAATAAGAAGTAAAACAAATCTCAACAGTCAGCAGACTGCGCTTCGATCGGAGTGCGAGCGGCAGTTTAGGGTTGATGAATAGATCAAAGATTTTTGATTCAAACTCCAGAATCGATGTTAAAAATCCGGTGTTTTCACGGTTAATGTTAAATTTAATTATCACGTGTAATTAAGCAGCTCACTCTCCACGGTGGCTCGGACGGTGCAGTGGCTCCGTTCAGCGTCAGTTTACTGCGCAGAGCGTCAACAACAAAAAACAACCAACATGCTAAATCTGCGTTATTGTGACTGAATTTCACAGTAAAGGCTCCACATTCATTTATATCTGGTGTTTCTTTAAATACGAGACGATGCAAAATGTAGTAAAATGACACCGTGTGACAGACAACCGTGTCTGGCTTTACGCAGAGGAAAGAGCCACTCCCCTGCGGAATTCGGCACAGCTCCGTTAGATGAGTGCGTAGCCTGTATGAATGAGTGGAGCTTTACAGTATGTGTTGTTGTAGACCTTGTTGTTTTTTGTCACCTTTCTCCTTTTGTGTTCATTTGTTTTAAAGCTGCAGTTTCAATTGCACCAATCCACATTTTTACAGTGTTTTCTTATATTATTGTTACATAATAGTCTGATATTTACTTTAAAGTGCTTTAAGTGTCAAATTACAGCCATGTTCTTATTCAGAACATAAATAAAAGTGTTGGTCCAACACAAAATGATGTGATTACATAACAAAACACAGAGGTCTATAGAAGTTTTGACTCATACAAACCAATACAAGAATGAAATACTTTACATTGTACTTGTTATAGTAAAGGTGCTGAGGCTGATATATATTCCCACTGTGGGGACATTTTCAAACCTCTTTTCAGGCCCCTGTTGAGCCCCTGCATCGCTCTTTGCCTGCTGCTGGCATCCATACAGCCCCCACTAAGTTTGTTTAAAGACTTCTGGCACCGAATTCCTCAACCAAGGCAATTGTATAGCAGTCCTCCCCTCCCCCCACTCCGCCATCTGCTCCTGAAATCGCTCGCTATCATGAATTCCCCATGAACTGCATTTGCTTAAACGCTGATTAGTTTGACGTCGTCACCATGTGTCAGGAGAAGTCATTATGAGCTTTGCAGTCACAGTCTTCCTTTTGTTTTTTTCTCAGCCCACGATCGTGCACTATGAGGATTTTGATGTTGTAGCCGACATCAAGGCCATCCGCAAAGCCTGCAAAGGCCTGGGTGAGTTGGAGGGGAGGGGGAGTGATGTTTGTTTTCAGTTTCTAGAAGAGTCCTTGTAAGTTGTACTCACAAATGACATTGTTTGTGATTGTGCTGCATCTGTTTTCTTTTATTGTTTTTCTTTCAGGAACGGATGAACAGGCCATTATTGACATCCTGGCAAACCGCAGTTCTTATCAGCGCCAGGAAATTAAACAGGCCTATTTTGACAAGTATGACGATGTGAGTGTCATTCAGTAACACACACAATAATATCTATATGTCATTTAACATATAATTTTTATATTAAGAACAATTTTGATTATATTTCGGCTTTAAAATATATTATTCCTCCTCAGTTTCTTTTCCTTTCTCCTGAATTAAAGTTAAATTGTGTTTCTCTGTGACAGGAGTTGGTGGACGTGCTGAAGAGCGAGTTGTCTGGAAACTTTGAGAAGGCCATCCTCGCCATGTTGGACCCGCCCGTCATCTACGCCGTGAAGGAGCTGAGGAAGGCCATGAAGGGAGCGGGCACTGATGAAGACGTCCTGGTGGAAATCCTCTGCACCGCCACCAACGCTGTGAGTTGATGTAAAAATTAAGAAATGTACTGAAGTTTGAGTTCCTTCATATAAAATATTCTAACTTTATGTTTGTTCTATCTTCATCTTTTCAACAGGACATCGCACTGTTCAAGGAATGCTACTTTCAGGGTAAGCCGATAAGCAGTGAAGCCTGAAATAACACCGGGTATTTTTATTGTGAAATACAAGTCATTATTTGCAGTTTTTAAACCACCAACTTACTAAATGTCACGATTACGCTTCCTGGTATCATGAACTCTGGAGGAAACTGCTGAGCGTGACTCATTTGGACCAACACACACCACATACTGTACTATTCTTGTCCCTTAAGTCACGTAATGTACAGTCACATGTTGTTTAGTCAAGGCCCACTCTGCTGCCACTTCCTGTTTGCTGTGATAACATCTGAAGTTTACATCTGGAACTTAATTTCTCATCCTTGCCTTAAATGTGTGGAAGGAACCGTATAAATTCTTGAACATATTCTAAAATATACCAGTTTCTCACTTTCACTTTCTAGTACTGCTAATGTACTATATAGTTTTTCAAAAAAAGAATAATTTAACGTTAATATTTGGCTTCAATAGAAATACTCACCCAACTTTTGCCACGTTTCACCACATGTACTGATAACCACTATATTCATTATATTCACTTATGGTTATTAATTAATTTATTCACAATGTGATCACCCTGTTGTGTTGAAATGAAATGAACGAGTTGCTATTTAACCGACATTGTTATGTCTTATCATTTTCTCAGATGCTTCCTGCTAACCAAGCTAGCCTCTAGTTAGCTGTGTTCTGGGGCTAACGTGTTGCTATAGCGACATTCTTGCGATGCTAACTTCTGAATTACTTACTCTTTTTAGTTTTCACTCATTGTGTACGTCTTCTAGAGTAATCAATGTGCTGTACTTGCTGCAGGGACTTAATATTGATCTTTACTGGTGATAGATACTTTTGGGAATCCAGCATCCTTGTTGCTATAGTAATTCATTTTTAATAATACTCTTGGTTTAACTCTTGTTTATGGAATCTCGCTGTTTTCTGTAATCGCTATCGTCACCATTATCCAACGGTGTTTTTCACAGTTACTTCCAGTAAAAACAATCCACCGTCTTTACTAAACCTTTACTGGAAGCTGCATAGCTGTGCACCTACACTTACGAGTGAGGGGCAGAAGAACAATTGAATTCTTGGTTATCTAAAAATGTCAGGTTTTGGTGTCTGAGAGTCAAAGACTAGACTCACAATTCTGTGTTGTACAGGCTGGAATCCATCAGGACTTTTAAGAAGGAAAACAGGCCACACTTGGAAATGTAGGACAGGGCGGGCTGATAGAGAAACTTAAATCAACTCGAATTAAAAGCAGGATGCACTGAATGTGTCAAACTTATCTTGCAGTACAAGAATATCTAAGGGTGGACCTCCTTTAAATACAGAGATATACTGAGTTATGTATGACTGTCCTTTTTGTGTGCACTGTGTTTTGTTTCTCTCAGTGCATGAAAGGGATCTAGAAGCAGATATCGAGGGAGATACAAGCGGGGATGTAAGAAACCTCCTCATGGCTCTTTTGGAGGTAAGTGGCCTCGTGTTTCTACTCCACTCCAGTAACTGAAGTCCTCCCATCTGTCCCTGGACTGAAATCGAGCTCACTCTCCCTGTGCCCAAGTATGCTTATAAACACACCCACACACACACACACACACACACACACACACTCAGACCAGATACGGTTGCTTGGGTCAGACAAAGGCCTCTCTGCACAGCAAAAAAAAAAAAATCCTCTTAATCTGCTTCTTTCAGGGCAACAGAGATGAGAGCTACGACGTGGACGACGATCTGGCTGAACAAGATGCTACTGCCTTGTTTGAGGTACTGCGTTCTCTCTCTGCGATACGTCTTCAAAATACGTCTCGAAGCAGATTCATTCATCCTGAAAATTAACAGTTATTGTCCGATGCAGGCCGGCGAGGGTTGTTTTGGGACAGATGAGTCCACCTTCAGCCACATCCTGGCCTCCAGGAATTACCTGCAGCTCCAGGCCACCTTCAAGATTTACGAGCAGGTCGGTGATACTGCGTATCAGTTGATATGTCGTCTGCAGCTAGCATGTGAAGTGATCAGGGTTGGTATCTTGCATGACCCTGGTGTACTATACAGTATTTTCCCGGGACTTTAAATGTCCTGAACATACCTTAAGTCAAACACTAGTCACTATAACCAAATCTAGAGGAAAATGTGGACCTGGAAGCTGAAACGTTACCACATGAAGTCATTGCCAGCGCTCGGATTCTAACCAGTGATTTTCTCTCCACAGCTCTCTGGAACTGAAATACTGGATGCCATCGAGAATGAGACTTCTGGGACACTGAGGAAGTGCTACATCGCTCTTGGTTAGTATGAAATGCAAAGTGTTGAATATATCTCATCGTAGAATGTGAACCTGTATGGAGGTTATTTAGTGTTATAGGAGAAAAGGAGCTGATGGTGGGACCCTAATGAAAACCTTTCCTCCCTCCCTCACAGTGAGAGTCGCTAAGAACCCTCAGCTCTACTTTGCCAGGCGTCTTCACAAGGCCATGAAAGGAGCGGGCACTGATGAGGACACCCTTATACGTATCATCGTGTGTCGCTCTGAGGTAATGGAATCACTTTTCTTTTTTATAAATAAGTAAAATTAAAGTTCAATACGACCGGTGCAACCAAAATCCCATTGTTTTCTGCATCAGATTTTTGGTGATGTCCACCATTTATGTTATTTCATCAGTATTTAAAGGAGCTATTTGTAAGTTTTGCTTTTGCTACATAGCTAACGTTAGCATTAACAGCTGTTTACTTAGTAATGTAGAGGAAATGTTGCGAGTTCAGTATTAAACTTCATTCCTTTACTCGCCAGCAGTGGAAAGCAACACCAATGTTAACTCTTGTCTCTTATCACGTCTTTTCTTCTACTGAAGTTAGCATGCTAACCAGCTAGCCCCGGCCTGTCTCATCACTTTCCGATAGCGATTCACTGTAGCCGCAGATGTATGCACAGGGTTTATTTCATTTGGTTGAAGTACACAAGGAAAATCTGCGGCACTCGATCTTTAGTGTAGGTTTCGCCAGTCTTGAACTCTTCTAATGCTTTTTCATTACGCCGACAGTATGACTTGGAGACCATCAAGGACATGTACCTGGAGAAGTATGATGTGTCTCTGAAGGACGCCCTGAAGGACGAGTGCAGCGGCGACTTTAAACGTCTCCTCGTGGCTATCTGCCACTGAGGGCCGGAGAGGCGGGCGGTGGCGAAGGTGGAGGACAGAGACAGCGGAGTACGTTTATACCGAGAGCACTGCTGTTTTCTGTCTAACCAACTAACACTACACAGTCTCTCCATGTGACATTATGTCGTAGAGCAGGAGGGTGGAAGTGATCAAAGAATTAACTTGGCTCATGTCTTGTCCAAACTGAGTTACTGTGAACGTGGTTGACTAACTTTTTAACTAATTTTTTCCCACAGACATTGAACTGGACTTAACCAGTGTGTGAAACCGTGTCTGTCGAACACTGCCCGTTTCTGAATCCGTTTTTAGATTCGGTTCTTATAACATCTTTTACCAGCATTAACTGTGAGTAGCGGCCAGTCATTTTCAGTCACTGGAAACAAGCACCAAAATTTATACATTTCCAACGTTCACAGGAGCCAATTGTGATCACACGGAGGCAATTTGACGGAGAGTTATGTGATCAGGTGGTTTGAGACCTGATAGGATAATCACATTATAAGACATGTTTTTACAAGTCAGCTATAAGTGCGTTGTTCTGCTGATGCACGTACTAACGCCGTGAGACAATAGTGTTATATCATTATCATCATATACGTATTATTGTTTCTGTTTTAGATCAAGTAATTCTTTGCTCTTTGGGCCATTATCTTTCACCCTCCTCGTCCTGATCCACTTTACCGCTGTTTGAACTAATGCAATCACTCCGTGTGGCTTGAAAGTTTGTGAAAGAAGAAATGTGAAAGTTTGTCATGAAGGGATTTGAGCTGATGTCATGAAGGCTATGCAATGTTATGTGAATGGATTCCCTGAATCGTCGTCACGGCTCATTCACAAAAGAGATTATTGTATTTTATCAGTTGCTTATTGAAAGAAAACTATATGTTGATTTACAGTATGTTGCATTTTTTTAAAAAAAATCCAGTACAACTAGAAAAACTTGACAAATCCAAATACACCTCACCTTGTTATATATTTGTTTGTATTGTATGACTAACACAATAGAGTGATTAATATATAGCATTATTTAGTTGCCAGTTGGAGGTCGGCCAGAGGTTATATGAGAGGAAATCTTTTAATGTGAGCTAAACATTTAACACCTGGACAGTGATGTCTGTCATTTGTGTGTCTCTATAAGGCAGCTTTGTTAACATTACCACTGTTGCAATCGTATGGCAACAAGCCGAGCAGATACTCAAGTGAACTGCAGGGCATTCGATGGTGACGTTGCTGTTGTCGTGGGAATATGGTGTTTGTCTCTCTATAGCCAAAGAAGTTTAGTTTAACTGCAAATAAAGTTCCCTATAACGTCATCATGCTTCCGACTGTGTTTAACACTGCACATAAATAACATACGCAGCCTCAGTGAGAATCTGTGACCTTTTTAATACATCCATCCACTGTCACACCTTTTACAAATAACTGAATCAAGTAGAAAATGAAGTGTTAATTGTGCATTTAAACTCTGCACAATGTGTTCAACCTTTTCTCAAGAAACTGCAATTACTGTTCTTTATTTATAATCCAATTTCTCAACATTTTAATTGTAGGCTTGTTTGGGCCCTGTCTAAGAAGTTCTACTGTTACCTTGCACTGATAACTAAGCTGTGGTGCATTGATAACAACTGATCAATAATGAAAATGTCAAACCATCCTGATTTAACCACATAAAATCATGAAAGCCACGATCATTGTGTGGACGAGTCAGGTGAAAGGGTTTTGTGAAGTTGGAATAATCATAACAGCTGCCATGGAAAGTCTTAATGCATAATGATGCAGTTGTCATGGCAGCACTTCGACCCACCCATGGCGCAGGTCAATGTGGTTTCCATGACAACCCGATGAAACACAATGTGTCCTGTCAAAAGTGTTTAATCCAAACAACCACCACAGGTGTGAGTGGAAATTATCTTTTATATCACTGCACGGTCTGAGAAAGGACACGCCCCCTTTAAATTTATCTCCGTTCTTTTGCTGCATTCAGGTACCATCGGAAATATGTACATTTTTTAAGTTGAGGCTGGACTAACCTCGTTGTTTGACCCCTATCGCCCTAATAACCAACCAGACATGTGGCTATGAATGTTAATGCTGTATTATACAGTTTACAACCTTTAAAGTAACTTTAAGATTGTCTTATTAATTATTTCAACTATTTATTTTGTTTCATTAAGTATTTTAAGGGATAAGTAACTGCTTGAGGCTTAAAAAAGGATTTTCCCTTTAGGCAAGGCAAGGCATTTATATATAGTAGCACCATTCAGACACATGGGAAATCAAAGTGCTTCACAGACACATGGAAATACATGCAAAATAGAACATTAAAATAAAATAGCATTTAACAACAATAAAGACAAATTTGAATAAATAAAACTGAAAATATTTGAATAAGTCATATCAAGTTTGCATAACAATGGCAAAGACTCATATTTACAGGCAACACACAATGTGGTATCAGTGTGCACAGGGAGTGATGTCAAATAGCAAGTATTTTATCAGAAACGCTTATCACGTAGGGATTTTCCTTTTAATATAGTTATGAAACGTACGAGTTTCCGTCCAGCACCTGAAGGCACCGTAGTGCTCCCGTCTCGTCAGTGCTCTGTGGCACCGCCCCTCCCTCAGACATGCCTGTTGTGGTCCCGCATTTTTGTTACTCGTCTCTGTTTATATTTATGAAAAACGGGACGTTTTAGACGAAGTGAGTTCCCGGCGTTGAGCCAAACAAACGGAGGAACATCACCGGCGTCAGCCCCGTTCACTGGACTCTCTTGAAGGTACGTTGTTCTGTGCGTTTCACTGGCTTTGTTGCTCCTTTTCCCCTTTTTCCCTGGTAATTACAGTCATTAGCATCCATCTTGGTAGGAGCTAATTAACAGCACTGCAAGGAGAAATGGTTGGCTCCTTTAAGCCCTCTAAACATCACAGCTTTGTATGTTCTTTGAGGTTTATAACTTCTTTTAAACCAAATATGCTTTCTTTCTTTTTTTTTTTAAATTCCCACCAATTAACACACGGTTATATTCCTGCAATAAATCATTTGTGATAGATATAATAAACCTGCTGACTTTAGTGTGGAATTATTGCACTTTATTAGTATTTAAACCCCATTTGTTGTCACTGAAAAATGTAAAAATGTTTTTTCAGACTGCAGTAGTTCATTTACATGAGAGTAATTCTCATGTTAACACGTTATGTCAGGTGCTGGGAGCAGATTAATCACTGCAGCACTCACTCCTCACTTGTGTTTGGATACTGCAGCATGCACATGTTCAAGAGAGGAGTCCCATCATCATCTCCATGGAAACATTAAATAAAACAGTGATGTCCACTTCCTGCAACAAAAACCAGCAAAATACTGTTTTGTTTTTTTTTTCCTCATCTGGTTGAAATCCTGCATTCAGGTATCAAGCACCTGAATGCACCGCTTCTCTCTGCAGCCACCAACCAGAATAGGTTCCACTAAGGTTATAAAACTCATCTGAAGTGATTCCTATTAAATGTATGTACTCATGATGATTTGATTCATTAATTAAAGGAGGATGTGTTATTGATTCCTGTTGCTCACCAGTCAGAAATTATCAAGTAACTATGAGTTTATGTGATTGGTTACAGGAGCACTCCACTTATTTTACACATGAAGTTTAGGAGGACTTTAAATAACTGTTTATTTATTGAATAATCAGATTATTTTCTTGATTAATCGTTTATAAAAGTATATTAAATGTCATAAAACACTGAAAAATTCCTGTCAAAATCCTCCAGAAATCCAAGGTGACATTTTCAAATGATTCTTTTTTGGTCCGACCAACAGTCAGAACCTTATAGTCAATATACAATCATATAGAAAATCAGAGAAAATCCTCAAAAATAATTAAAAAAAAAAAGACTCAAATGATTGATCAGTTATCAAAATAGTCGCTGATTATTTTTCTGTCGATCGACTAACTGATAAATCGTCATTGTCAACCATTGTCCTTTGAGGTGCACTTCACTTCTTTCAACAACAATGAAAAATATCATAAGAAAATACATAAGTGCCACCACTTTTCTTGTAAAATGACTTAATTTATTAATGAGAATCTGCTTTCAGAGGCCGAACAAAATGCACAGGGTCGAAATGGCCTTTTTCTCTGTAACTGGATTAATCATTAATGACTAATCATTCAGTGGCATACAATCGTGAACCATTAAGGATTAACTAATGATACATCTTGTATTAGTTCATGCATTAAATCATCATCATGACCCGAGCGTTAGTTATCCATTACTTACCAAACTGCATCGTTTTTTTTAAACCTTCCCACTGTTACAGTTGCTCTGGTTTCAAGAGAAAACAAAGTGCACAAATGAAAGTCTTGAAAATTACAGGGTACGTGTCTCTACGCGCTACAAGCTCTGATGTTTGATTCCACTGCAGTTTTGAAGCAGAAGCTGTCAACAATCTTCAGCTTCACAAACACAATGTGAATTATGAATTATTCTCTGCAGCATGGAGCCTCTTTTTGATGTTTACATTTAAAGAGGGGGAATACTTTTCTGTTGGTGTGAAATAACTCCTTCCTTCTTTTATCCGGCCTGAAAGTTTGGATGGATTTGTTGCTGATGCAAATTCATGTGCATTTTAAATCTAATTTAAATCGAGCACTGGTCTCGAACAGTGGTAGTGACTGAAGAGGTGAGTTCACTGCCATTTTTCACACTTTTACGTCCATTTAATGAGATTTTTCCTACAGAGGTTCGACTTTGACTTGAAATGTTTTCTCTACATCATCTTACTCTGATTCATGTGTCCAGTGGTAAGAGCATATTAATGGATAGGGAAACACAGCGTTTCTTTATTCACACCACAAAGCAGTGTAAAAAAAAAAAAAAACAAAAGCATGAGGCCTGCTTCTAAAACAAATTTGGTATGTGGGCACAAAATCCACTGCTCATGCTTAATTAATGCTCAACTAATGCATGATTCATTGTGTCCTAATGAATGTATTCATGCGTGATATATCATGAACTCACGTGGCTCTGGATTAATAAATGATTAGGTCGCTATTAGTTTCGTCTGCCATTATTAAGTACAAAGGTGGAAGCGTCGCACGCTGTGGTCATAAAAATCAAACAGACCCAGCAATGATTGTCATTAACTGAACTGAGTGATCACGTTATCACAGGAAGACGTGAAACACGTGAAACACGCTGGCTATAAGTTCATTTATTATAAAATACCTCAGCTCCTGCATTGACTCATGTGTTTGAGTTTGCATGAGTTGATGTTGATGTATTTATATATGCATTTCCCATAATTCATGAAGAATCACATGCATGAATTAATGATCTTTTTTTTTTTCCCATGCAGAAATGAATGCATGAATTAATGGCAGTTAATGCAGCGTAATGAGCCTTTATGGAATGAATCTTTTGGTTTTATATCAGTTTGCAGATAGCTGGTTTACCGACTCCTGTTGTTTGTATATTACAAACTTATGAACTTGTATTTGTAAAGTATAAAAGCCCATTACAATAACCAGAACAGAAAAACTGAAGGCTGCATCTATCTAATTATGCCTTCTGTATCTTGTAATTTGACTTACCATCTCATAATCATGAGAGCTAGAATTACCGCCTCGTGGTCGTCTGCCTCCGCCACTCAGACTAGTTTCAGGTTACATCCCTGTTCATTCAGAGTCGTATAAAATATGAAGCATTTGTGTGAAATTTTGTCATAATTGCTGAGTGAAGTCATGAGTAATGTCTAAAAAGTTGCTTTGTGCTGCCACACTGATCCTTGACCTTTGACCTTTGACCACCAAAATCTAATGGGGTCATCCTTGAGTCCCAGTGGATGTTTGTGCCAAATGTGAAGGGGTTCCCATGAAGAATTCTCAAGATATCTCGTTCACAAGGTCAAGACCGTGATGTCATTGTGTCCTTGACATTTGACCTTTGACCTTTGACCACCAAACTCTAATTAGTTCATCCTTAAGTCTGAGTGAATGTTTCTGCCAAAGTTCCCTCAAGGCGTTATGGCGATATCAGATACCACCATGTTTGATAACTATCAAAACAACTATAGTAAAAGTCTAATTATAATGTTTACAGTGGGAAAAAAAAACACCTGTTCTCATAATTATGAGCTATGACAGTTTTAATTACGAGACACAGTCTCCGCTTCTTTTATTATATATATGAAGGGTACGTCACGTGTTTATTCGTGTAACCTGTAATTCATTGTGAAGCAGTTGAAGTGTGAAAAATAAAAACCTCCCTGGACCAGTGGATCTGAAAAGAAACAAGGAGCTGCATTTACATACACATACAGTCAGTGACTTGATGGTCCACTGCATGATAAATAATCATGTGAAGTAACGCTTATTATTTTAATATTGAGCGACAGGATCTCATGTAACACGACGCACTAATTCATGCAATAAGTGAAATCTTACATAAACGTTATTCATGCTTTAAAACACGATGAGTCATTCTTCAGTTTAGCATTACTGAATTATTTTGTGTAGGAACTTGCTGCACACACCAAAGAAAAGCAAACTGGCAGTGTTGTCGTGTAATTACGACCTCTGTGTCTTGTAATTTTGATATTTCAGAAAAGATCTCATAATTATAACGTCTTTATCTCTTAACGACTAGATACAGGATCTCATAATTACGAGATCTGCATCTTGTTGCCACGGAGACAGCTCCAGCCCCAAGTTTAGTTGCCGCCAGCTGTTGACGGCAAACGTTGCGGCAGCATGAGATGTCTGTGTGACGTTGATGCGTCTGTGTGAAACAGCGACATGGTCTGTGGGAACCGGGATTTGCACTTCGACTGTTACTGAAGACTCACACAGAGGAAGTCACTGTTTCTTACTTGCTGATGCTTCTGAATCGCCAGCCACAATAAAGTGATTAAGCTTGAACCAACATGTTGGCAAGGTGAGGCCTCGTGTATTTACGACAGGCTTTATTGTTATATTGAGTTCACCTCACAGAGAGGACAGGTGACAAGTCTGCCAACACCTGTTGCCAATGACACCTGTCTGTCTTTGACAATTGTTAATTATCTGTGTGCTGTACAGAAAACAAATAAAGTCCTGAAAGGAATTACACTCAGTATTTCACCCTTTTCACTTTGTAATTTGAAAAAGATGGTGGAAAGTATTATTAAGTAATTGTTAAGGTTTTTTATTATTATATTATAATTAAGGTTTTTTTTTTTTATTGTGATTATTTTGGCAGGGATTGTGATGATTTCAGTTGGAATGATTGTTTTTACATTTTCATTTTCACTGAATTAGATTTAAAAAAGATAATCGTGATTATTGTCGGGGCTTGTACCAAACAAGCTCGTTCCTTTGACTCAACATATTTTATATTTCTATATTACATGCTGTATAAACTTGTAGTTACGTATAGCCAATATATATATGGAAATGTTGAGGGCATAGAGGAGTTAATAATAGTTGAAAGGTTTTAGTTTTGATTTTACTAATGCTATATATTTAGAAATACAAATAGATAGGGATGGGGTTAAAATTAAAATACATAGGTCTTTCCATTCCATCAAAAGGGAGTATCAGTCCTCATTTTTGACCTTCTACAATATGGAAAACCTTTCACGAATGTGGCGCTTGAACCGAGAAGATTTCTCCACGATATGACACATTAACACTCCCTTTGTTTGACTCTTTCCCAGGTCTGAAGAGATGTCGTCCGTGTGGCAGCAGGAGCCGTCGGGTTACTCCCCCTGCGTAGAGATCGACTCCAGCTCCGTGAGGACCAAGGACAGGCTCAGCTCTCCGGCCTGGCTGAAGCAGGAGCAGGATGACCTCCGCATCATCAAGTGGGAGAATTTTCAGTCAGGAGCCTCGACAGACGCCGTCCAGGACAACACACCCAGCAGCGCCATGTCAGGTGAGCAGCGGTGTCGGCATTAATTTTCACGTTGTCGCGCCACGTTACAGATGATTTATAGGATTTATACCCGTGTGTTGTAATGTTCTCCACATGCCCGTTCCCTTGTCTTTAGCTGCCTCACATGTAGAAAGCCTGCCCCCAAGGGTGCTGCTGACTATCACCAAGCTGCAGTGCATGCTGGAGAGCAAACAGGAGCGCATTGCTGCGCTGGAGAGACAGGTGGAGGACCTGATGCAGGACCGCAAGTTCCTGAGGAGCCAGATCGAAAACCTCACAAGCAACCGTTCCATGCCGACGTTCGCTTCGCCCAGTCCAGTGACGGAAGGTCGGTGAGACTACTGTCTGAATTCATATGTACATTTAGTCGCCGCTTTTATTTATTTTCGTTGATCGCATCTTTTGTTTTCCGTCGATCATACAGCCAGTAAACCCAGCAAAGTGCAGCACTCAGAAAACAAATCTCGCAAGAGAGAAAGAGCTTCCTCCAGTTCGTCCGACACCAGCGACAGCGGCTCTGAAGCGTCCGACTCATCCGAAGTGTCCGCGGCCTCGAGTGAACACAAAAGGCGGAAACACCACAAGGACAAGAAACGGTCAAAGAAAGGGAAGGACTACAGCAGAAAGAGAGGTAATCTTTCACCGTGTCATGAAGCAGACATTCAAAACGTTCAAGCACGAAAGCTCATACTCTGTCCTTTCTTTCCACCAGCCACAGGTGTCCAGTACGTCATCCACCGCTACAAACAGGTCCTGACCGCCTTCATCAAGAAGAAGAGCATGAGCGAGGCCTTCCGCCACCTGGGAATCGACCGCAACACCATCGCGAACACGGCGTCGATCGCCGAGCTGCACCTGGCCGGCAAAGACATGGTCCCCTTGGTGGGCATGTTTCGCCAGGGAGAAGAGACTCTGGTCAGCTACGCCCAAAGGTGCACCTTGGTCATCGACAGCGACGCCGACCTGTCCAGGAGGATAGACGAGATGAAAGCCAACGGCGAGCTTCTGCCCATCTCAGGGAAAAGGCCGAGGGTGTTACATTCTCACCTCCAGCAGCTGGGGGGTGCTACAGAAAGCATTTTAATAGGTTGATGATTATTTAATTTCCTGAAACATTACGGGCCTTCACAAAATAATGTTCTTTTGTTTGTTTGTTTTCCCTCAGTCTGAACTGCTGGATTTAAATGTTTTATGTCTTATTGTTGCATATCTTGAAGTTGCTTTATGTCTCAAGGGGACCAGAAAGTTGGATTATTTTCAGTATATCAATATGCATTTTAGCAGTTACACATTTAGGATGTATATTTTGTACTTGATAGCCATAGAAATTTATTTACAGCTGCTTTAAATATTGGAAATAATGGATCTTTTTTATTATTATTTAAAAGATGTGTGTGTAGTGTTAGAAACAACCACAAGATGGCAGTGCTCACACATAAGATCTTTTTCTTTTCTTTTTTTACCAATCACTCCTATTCTCATTTAATCCAAAATGGTGGATAGTCAATTTAAAATTCTCCAGGACTAGCTGTTTTACTTTATATATTAAAAAAATCATTTTGTTGACATCATTCTGTGATTAAAAGGTTGTAATTGAACCGAGAGATTTAAAAGCTGCATTCAATGCAAAGTTAATGTTCCTGAACTGCCAACGAATGAAAATAAATAAAAAAACAGTTTTGTTCCTTTTGTTTTTATCTAGGGAGGTTTTATAAGTGTCATGTACCAAAATGTGACAGCATACCTCTGCACATGGCCTTTTAATAGAGCTACTGAATCTGTAACCTTTCAGACTAGGAGTCATAATCACTTGATCCCGGGTCAAAGGACGGGAAAAAAAGGCCCTGAAAATAACACATCAACTCCCAGATCTTGAATATAATTCTGTTAAACTCTGTAAGATGAAACGTGATGCAGCTGTGTATGGTTTTATATTTAGACTATCTCTTGACCAGAGGAGGGGGCAGCACCGGTTGTGTAGACGGATGGGAAAGCTTGGTAAGACATCCTTGGGCGATGGTAAGTGTCAGTGCAAAGTGTTGGCATTGCCTTCCCTGCTGTTTGCTTTTCACGTGGAGTGACAAATTACTCGTGCACAGCCATTACAGAGGCTGCACCCGGGCTGTTTATCTTTGCATGGGACTCTGTCACTGTCACTCCCATTCACACGCCAGCTATCTGCTTATCGTTCCCTCTCACACCCCAGTCCGTCTCCATCCACTTCCTCCCCCAAACCTCCACCCTCTTCTCTTATGAACTCATTCAGTCATTTCTCATTACCTATCACTTCTCCATCTCTTTTTGTCTCATCTATTAACCCAGAATAAACCGCAATGAAGGCGGAGAAGGTGGCTCGGGAGTTTTTGTGATAGTGTAGGAAACATTTCGTGCCACCAGAGGCGGCCGTCAACAACCTGAAGTTCCTTGCAGCCTGTTCACAGCCAGAGGGGACAGGTGCACGCTGGTCTGCTCAGCAGCATGCGGTAGAAAAAGGGGTGGGTGTATCTCTGCCAGCTCTCATCTCTTCCCACCTACTGATGCATGCAAATGTCAGTTCTGCTCTCCTGTCACCAGAACATGAAGTGAAGACTGAAGGTTTTTGGGCAAATCCTGAAATAGAAAAAAAAAAAAAAAGGTGACACTTAGAGAAAGGTGCAGGATTTCATTGACTATTTAATTTTTGTGCACCACCCTTGTTGGTCAGCATGTTCCTAAATAAGGCAACAACAAATATGCAGCCCCCACCTGCTAATACACCAGAGTGGCAGCTGTGAATTTGGTGCTAATGATTGAGGGTGATGAAGCTCAGAGCTGAAGATGGAGATAGGATGTGGAGCTAATCGAGCCTGAAGCATTCTCTCCTCCTCCTCCTCCTCCTCCCCCGGCCTTTTGACTCACACCGGTGCAGGGGGCCAGCTGGGACTCCATTTTGTGCCTTTCCTGGTTGCAGGTGCCGCGTCATTGCAGAGGCTCCAAGTGCCTGATGGGTACAAAAATTCAACCCCCTCCTCCTCCTCCCTGTCCGGCTTTGATTCTGACCTTGACAAAAAGAGCATCTGGACGTTCTCACAGACAGGAGCTTGTAATAACCACCAATCACCCTCTTAATGGTGCAAGTAAAATGTGTTTGAACTGGTGAGTTCAAATGGAATGGGGTTATGTTTTGTTATACTGGCAGCGTGTGCCAGACCTGCTGCATAACAAACGCCTCAGACAAAAAGATTACAGGGCCTGTAATGGAGCGAAAGAGCTCAGACTTGAGCGATTGATTTAAATGCTCTCTGGGGGAACGTAGCTCTTGGCTTGAAAAACAATGAGTGTAATGTCACTTTTTCACAATCACTGAGATTACTGTAAGATATTGAGTAACAATGCTCAGCTTGTGTCGGGATTTCCTTGGGCTCCTGGTTGGTTTGCAAATATTAATGATGTGCAGTGACATTTTTGTGCATGTAGCACCACGTTTGTCAGTGTTACATGTTCTTTGCATTGTTTTCTTGTTAAACTGCTGCCTATTTTAAATTCATGACAGTCGTCTTGTAGATAGTGAGATGAGAACATTGATGCTACTCACATATCTGTATGATAAATATGAAACTTACTGCTAGGAGTCAGTTAGCTTAGCGCAAAGACTGGGAACAGGGACAACAGCTAGTCTGACCGCGCACCTGCAGTCGCCTTAATTTGACAAGAAGTAGGTTTTTGTACAAATTAAACAAACTAAACATAATTTGTCAGTGTAAGTTTCACAGACACAGGCTAGCTGTTTCCCCTCATGTTTGTGCTAAGCTAAGCTAACATGCTGTTGGTTATAGCCTCATATTTAGCATACAGACATTAGAGTGATGTCAGTCTCACCATATACTGTAACTCTCAGCAAGAAATTAAACACGTTTCCCAAAATGTCAGATTATTTCTTTAAACCACCGCTGTTTCAGACCTTCATTACTTTTTTTTTTTTTAGATCAGTTTTTGTTTTGAGAATAGACTGAGTCAGATTAATGAGTGATCTGATTCACTCATGGTATTTAAATTGGTTTATATCTTCAGTTTGTCTGCAGGGTGCGTCTAGTGTTTCAGAACAGCAGTGGAGACGAGATCAACCTTTAAGTTCAATGATACATTCCCCCTAAGCAAAAACGACGTCTTCACAACAAGAGGACTCGACAACATACCAGCAGTCATCACAGTTACTCATGTAGACACACACACACACACACACACACACACACACACACACACACACTTAAACACCAGTGGCGTTTTTTGTTTTATTTTGGTGGGAGGCGGGCTGCACAGAAACAGCACTGACAGGTGCTCGGACAGATTTGAATTCCCCCCAAAAAAACGAACAGACAGGTTGTGTGTGTGTGTGTGTGTGTGTGTGTGTGTGTGTGTGTGTGTGTGTGTGTGTGTGTGTGAGATTCTTCACCTTTCTTTTGCCCTTGGTATTCCTGCAAATGAAAATCTCAAAAATAACCTGCTCACCGCTGAAAAAAAAGTGGGTCAGAGCGCCAATGCGATGCCAGTTCAATACAAAAGCATCAAGTGGTGCATTATGGGTATTTCCCCCTGTGGTAGAATTGAGGTGGGGGCCGGAGTCTGCGCACTGGTGGATGCCTATCCCTGTGCTTTTTCCTGCAGTGACATGTGATGACTGGTGGAGCGGTCAACAACGTGCAATCATAGTCTCATCTTCAGCCTTTTATCGAGAGGAAAAAGAAAGAAAACACACGTGCACATTTTCTTGTTCTCCCTGACACAGTGTCTAATCCTCCGTCTTATTTACTGCATGAGACCACTGGATAACAGCAGGGTTGCTTCAGTGTAGCACGCCACGGAGCTGCTAGCGGTAAGAGGCACTAGAGGACAGTGTTGTATCCAATACACTCTTGTCATGTTCTATTGTTTGCCGTCTGACACATCATGCAAACACCCCTCAATGCACAGTTTGCTCTCACACCGCTGATTAGATTCAGTCTGATGGGTGAAGAACAAAAAGCTTCTACTACAGTGTAGGGTCTGTTTTTTTTATTACAGCCTTCAGACATGGATAGGAAAACATACGTCATGTTTTGCATGTCAGTTCTTTTTACCTGCAGTTTTTTCTTTCTTTTTTCTTTTTTTATCTCTTGAAGCCGTCCAGACTGACAGATAAATCCAGCAAAGGAAATAATAGTCATTAATGAGACTTCTCTTGACAATTATAAAATAGAGAAAAAAGCAAAGATGCTAATCTGAAACCAAAGAGCCCCTCCACAATGACAGCCTTTCTGCCAGCGCCGCTCGATCAACAAGTCTTAAGGTATTGCTGGTGCGCTCTCCATCTGGCTGCCACTGATAAGAACTTACTGGGGGCTGCTGGATAATAGTCTCACAGGCTTAAAAGCATACAGGGGGGGGGGCATAATGTATTCTGGGGGAATCCGGCAAACAGGACCCTATAAACCAAGCCCCCCCACCCTCCCATCACATGAGGCACATTCATGCATAGTCGGCCCCCGCGATATAGCCACTGGGGGTTTTGGAGGCGGGGTGGGGACATCATGCTGCCATAGTCATGATTTGCCTGGAGTGTGATTTCGCTCCTGGAGAAACAAGATGGCTGCGCTCGGGCCGCAACGTGTGAGGCGCGCGCTCACAGTGCAACAATCAAAACTGATCCGGTCATTTAACTGTGATCGTGTTACGTGGCTGAGCTGCTGCACTGGAGTTCATCTATTTCTGTGTACAGGCTAGCACCTCCATGGCCTGCTCTCTTTGCACTGAGGGAAATATGTAAAGCTGGTACGACCTCTATTTTCAGGGTCACAGGCACTGACTGTTTTTTTGGTTTGTACTCCCCCAGGTGTCCTCAGACTGACTCATGGGAGATGAAAGAGCAGAAAATGATAAATGGATGTATGCTCCAGGCTCTAGAAGGTTGTTTTTAATATCTGACCAACTGTACATTGTATTGGTATCAAGACAAAAAAGGTAAGCAGTAAAAAGAAAAAGAAATTAAAATTTTTAAAAATCTAACTGCAGAACTGCACAGGCATGCATCTGTAAATATGGCTGTTTTCTCTCCCTCCCCCAGTAACGACAGCTACGTTGATGAATGCATTGTTTGGACACAGAGGAGATGATGGTACGTGACGTAGAGGAATACGCAAGCTGACAGCATGAAGGAACCCCAACCCCACCCTCAAATCCTGTTGGTTACTGGTCCAGTGACGCAGGACGAACCAGAAAATCTTTGACCTGAAACAAGAAAAATAAAAAATAAAAAATCATGTGAAGGGGACCGGATCCAGTCAGACACTCAACTCAGAATGTGAATGCATTTGCATTATGTTGGAGAATATTTGCATGATAACCAGAGAAGACGTGGATTTTGTCAATGCCCAAGTATTTAATAT